CCTCTCCCAATCTTTTCCAACTTTGTCTGTCTTGTGTTTTTTGTTTCATGTTATCTATTGCCCAGTCTGTTACTTTGTTTGTCCATCTGTCGTCATGTCTCCGACATATATGACCTGCCCATTGCCATTTTTTCTTTTTGATGCTCATGAGTATATCTTCCACGTTTCTCTGTTCCCTGATCCACGTCGCCCTCATCCGATCTCTTAGACTAATTCCCAGCATCAACCTCTCCATCCCTCTCTGGGCACTCATTAGTTTCCTCTCTTGGCTGTAGTTCATGTTTCTGATTTATAGGTCATAACTAAGAGAACACATTTCCTTTTTAAACATAATAGCAAGGAGCCTCTTTGTAGTTCCCTAAAAGGCCCCCAAAGTCCTGATCTTGATCTTGGTCCAGGAGACTTCTAGGCCCAAGGACTTCGCCTCATTGCTAAATGCATCAAGAGCCACCACCAGTGATCCTAGGGACTCAGACAGGATATCAACATCATCGGCAAAGCCAGGGTCTCAGATCTTGATATTTGTTGCTCCACACTGACTTTGGATAGTAGCAATGCCCATTATCCAGTCCATGCAAGGGTTGAAAAGTATTAGTGCAAGGACACAGCCTAGACTGACCCCTGAATGAACAGGGAAGTTCGACAGACCCCCACCACACTTTACAGGACTTCCAGTACCGATATATAGGTTTGGTATGAGGCCAATTATTCCTGTCAGAATTCCTGTCAGAAGTCACAGAATCTCCCAAAAGATTCTCGATACACCGAGTCAAATGCCTTCTTGAGGATGATGTAGGCTGCAAGCAACCCACAACCAAACTCAGGACAGTGTTCTACAGTTACTCGAAGAGCTAGGACAGGGTCTATTGTGGACTTGCCAGGAGTGAATCCAGACTGCTCCGATCTTTGGTGCCTTAGTAGGTGGTCGCGGATCCGTTTCTGAAGAATGTGAGCGAAAACCTTGCCTTGCCTACTGAGTAGTATAATGCCATGGCAGTTGCTACAATCCCAACAATCCCTTTCCCCTTCCAGAGAGGGATGACCACGCCCCTCAACAGGTCAGGGGGAATGGAACTCAACTGCCAGACGGTAGTCAAGACTGCATGCAAGCCATATGCCATAGATTTACCCCCAGCTTTTATCAGTTCAGCAGGGATTTCACATATGCTTTCCCACTCTTCAGCTTAGAAATCGCCATCCTAACCTCAGGGTAGGTGGTTCCTCACTGATGGGTGGGTTCGGCACAGCTATTGTGATACCTCTTTCAGTTGCTCAACATACTCAGCCCAACGTTCACGAACCCCAACATGATCTGAGATGATCTGTCCATCCACTGAGCAAACTGAAGTCATCTGTGAGGAGAGCTTAGAGTTCAGTCTTCTCAAGGATGGTAGGCAGGGTGCAGGTCATTTACCAAGATTTGTGTGTGTGTGTGTGTGTGTGTGTGCGTGCGTGTGTGTGTGTGTGTGTGTGTGTGTGTGTGTGTGTGTGTGTGTGTGTGTGTGTGTGTGTGTGTATGTGTGTGTATATATATATATATATATATATATATATATATATATATATATATATATTTATATTTATATTTATATATATATATATATATATATATATATATATATATATATATTTATATATATATATATATATATATATATATATATATATATATATATATATATAAATATACATATATACATATAGATATACTTAGAAAGATAGATAAATAGATATATAGAAAGACAGATAGATAGAGAGATAGGTAAATAGAAAGATAGATATCTTGTTGCTCCACACTGACAAATAGATAGAAAGACATATGGATAGATAGATAGAAAGACAGATAGATAGATATAAATATATATATATACATATACATTTTTTTTTTTTTTTCAACAGCCATTCATTCCACTGCAGGACATAGACCTCTCTCAATTCAGTATTGAGAGGTTATATGGCAGTGTCACCCTTGCCTGATTGAATGCCCTTCCTGATCAACCGCAGTTCGGCGCGTTAACACTTGTGCCACGGCGGTGACTTCCCCTACGACACCTGCGTTTGACTTCTCAAGGCGATATGTCGTTTTCTCGGGCTTGAGCAAGCAGTCAGAGCGCAGGCATTTTTACGACTGCCGCGACGGGGAATTGATATATATTTATATATATACATGTATATATATACATATATATATATATATATATATTTATATATATATATATATATATATACATATACATAAAAAGATGGATGGATAGATAGATAGATAGATGGATGGATAGATAGAGAGATAAATGAAAAGAGAGATAGATAGATAGATGGGTAGATAGATAGACAGATAGACATATAGGTAGATAGATAGATAGGTAGACTTATAGGTAGATAGATAGATAGATACTTAGACAGATAAACGTATAGACAGACAGACAGATAGATAGATAGATAGACAGATAAACATATAGATAGACAGATAGATAGGTAAATAAACAGATAGACAAATACCTAGATAGATAGGTAGGTAGGTAGATAGATAGACAAATAAACATATAGACAGACAGACAGATAGATAGGTAGGTGGGTAGGTAGATAAACAAATAGACAGATAAACATATAGACAGACAGACAGATAGATAGATAGA